GGTCAGAGCATTCTAACTTAACTTCATCTGGAATACTGCCTAGTTCTACTACATTTTTCTTGCTCAAATAATCTGCAAATTTAACTCACCTCAGAATATCCATTTCATTATCTACAAATGGGGAAGTTATAGTATGTATCTTATACTAGTATTTTGAGGGTTAAATGAGGTAAAGTAGCATAATAACTAAACAAATCATTTTCACCATCATCATTATTAATAATATGAATTTGATCATTTACTATTCTCAAATTTACATGGGCAATAATGTACAAATTCATATTAAAAAACACATACACTATTAACTTTGAATTCAGACTCATTTTTTTTGCATTTGTCTCTCAGTTTTTACAATGACAGTGACATATTCCCCTTTACAAATAAATCACACATAAATTATTGACATTTTTTACCCCCAAAGTAGGCAATTATGGTTTCCCTTATTTAGATAGCTTCCTTTTATATAAAGAAGTTTTTTATTTTTTAAATTTTTATTTGTTCTTTTTAGTTATACATGATAATAGAATGTATTTTGACATATCATGACATACATGAATGGAGTATAACTTCCCATTTTTGTGATTGTACATGATATGGAGTTACACTGGTTGTGTATTAATATATGAACATAGGAAAGTTCTGTCCAAATCATTCCACTGTCTTTCCCATTTCCATCCCCCATCCCTTCCCCCTATTCCCCCTGTCCAATCTGGTAAACTTCTACTCCTCCCTTTATCCCTCCTATTGTGAGTGTGACTCAGCATCCACATAGCAGAGAGAACATTTGGACTTTGGTTGGTTGGTTGGTTGGTTGGTTGTTTTTTGGATTGGCTTATGTTGCTTAACATGATAATCTCCAGTTCCATCTATTTACCAGAAAATGCCATAATTTCAGTCTTCTTTATGGCTAAGTAATATTCCATTGTGTATATATACCACATTTTCTTTATCCATTCATCCATTAAAGGGCACCTAGTTTGGTTCCATAGTTTAGCTATTGTTAATTGTGCTGCTATGAACACTAATGTGGCTGCGTCACTATCTTATGCTGATTTTAAGTTCTTTGGGTATATGCCAAACAGTGGAATAACTGGGTCAAATGGTGGTTCCACTCCAAGTTTTCTGAGGAATCTCCATACTGCTTTCCAGAGTGGTTGCACCAATTTGCAGTTCCACCAGTAATGTATGAGTGTACCTTTTTCCCCACATCCTTGCCAATGTTTATTGTTACTTGTATTCTTGATGATTGCCATTCTGACTTGTGTGAGATGAAACCTCAGTGTAGTTTTAATTTGCATTTCTCTAATTGCTAGAGATGTTGAACATTTTTTCATTTATTTGTTGATTGATTGTATTTCTTCTTCTGTGAAATGCCTGTTCAGTTCCTCTGCCCATTTATTTATTGGGTTATTTGTTTTGTTTCGTTTTGCTTTAGTGTTAAGTTTTTTGAGTTCTTTATATATCCTGGAGATTAAAGCTCTATCTCAGGTGCAGGTGGTAAAGATTTTCTCATACTCTGTAGACACTCTGTTCACTTTCTTGCTTGTCTCCTTTGCTGTGAAAAAGCTTTTTAGTTTGATTCCATCCCATTTATAGATTCTTGATTTTACTTCTGGCAAAGAAGTTTTTATTTCATATTTTTATTTTTAGCATAGTCCATAGAGCAACTATAAATAGCAGCATTAGAAAGAAACCTAAAATATACTCTGAACTCTGATCGATCAATTTAATCAAGTCAAGTTTTCAGAAATGTCTCTAAATTTAACTTGTGCTATGGATAACTCTTTCCACACTAGAATTACCTGACCACCACATTCCCTTTGGCTGGTGCTGTAGAGAGTCTTATATAGAAAACAAAACCCATGATTTTCCAGACCCAAAGTTGAAAGAGATTAACTCCGGCCCTAAAGATAAATCACTTCCCAGAATTTTCACTTCCAGTCTTTTAACACCTTTCCTGTCGTTTTGACTGCAGTGTAATCTGTTCCATGTCTGCAACAAGGATTATCCACTACCCTACCATCGCAAGCTAAAATGGGAAATTGTAGGTTAGAATCTCTTCATGGTGACCCACAGGGCATCTTTTTTCTTTAACATGGATGTCAATGACTCCTCTGGCGTCTAATGTATCCTTGATGAATGTCTTAACACAGGAGAAGAGGTCGAATGTAAATTAGGTTGCCGTTAAGTAAGGCAGAAGAAGTGGAAACACAGTTCCAAGGCTGCTAATGAAGTTGTTAAGCCAGCAGCTGTTGCCAGGCTGATTACCAGCATTAATCAGCATTAAGTCTGACATATTCATTCTTCCTTTCTCTCCCTAGGACACGAAAACAGCACATAGACTGGGAAAGCAGAAACTAAAGAGCGATTGAGAAAACGGTACTTTCCTTCTCTCTGCTTGCACTCTTGGTGAGAAAGGACCCCTCTTTCACCAGCGGGAAATGGATATTTTCCACACTTCCAGTTACCAAGTGCACTGTTCTTGCCTCACCTCCCCGGCTTTTTTCCATCTCGATAGCTCTGTATATTAAAGCACAAGTAGATCAGGACCCTTTGCTTACCAGCCATCACAAGACCACCCTCCACTGCAGCAGAGTCTTGGAGTGAAATATTTACTTTTGAAGAATTCCTGAGTCACCATTATTCATCTAATACTAATAGTAGAGGATTCCCTGGCTTACGGCCAAGTTCATAGTTGGAAAGCTATAGCTATAAGAAAGGAATTGGAAAAGATAATGCTAAGTGAAGTTAGTCAATCTCCAAAAAAACAAATGCTGCATGTTTTCTCTGATATAAGGAGGCTGATTCATAGTGGGGCAGGGAGGGGGAGCATGGGAGGAATAGATGAATTCTAGATAGGGAAGAGGGGTGGGAGGGAAAGGGAGAGGGCAGGGGATTAGCAAGGATGGTGGAATGTGATGGACATCTTTATCCAAAGTACAAGTATGAAGACACAAGTTGGTTTGAACATACTGTATATACAGCCAGAGATATGAAAAATTGTGCTCTATATGTGTAATATGAATTGTAATGCATTCTGCTATCATTTATTTTAAAAAGTTAATTTAAAAAAAGAAAGTCATTAGTCATGTTGAGTCAAAACTGGCCTCTGAGATGTCTACTCTTTTGTACAAGTCCTGTACTTGACTGCAGTGGTGGTCTCAACAGGAATTGTGAAAATGTCCCCAAAGATGGTCTTTAGTAGGGAACCCCTTGATGGGCTTAGCTGTCACTTTAAACTCTCAGCAAGACTGCAGGCACTAATCATGAAGGGCCCCTGACATTAGATGGAAGGACCCCAATGAAAGGCTGGGGTACTGGGGCAAGTTTCTATTTCCTAAACCAGACCAGATTGCAGAATCATAAGAAATGGGAAGCTGCTGTCTTAAGCCTATTAACTTTTAAGTTATCTCTAGAGTGGTTTTTAACGCAACAATAGGTAACTGAAATGTGCACATATACTCAGAGTTTCACATAAAACCTCTGAGACTCACTGAAGCCTATTCCTAAATTCTTGAGGGAGTGTGCCATGAGACCAAGTTCGAAGTTCCCAGAATGACATGCTCCCAGGTCCCAGCCTCGTCCCAAGTGATGCACCTCCATAGAAAGCATTCCTGTCATTATGCGGCTCCCTCTTAATATTCATTCCCTCTATTTGGAGTACCATCTTCTGAAAATCCTAACCATTCTTCAGGCCCATCTCTCACGCCCTTTCTCCTAATAGGGCTTGTCTTTCTTCTCACCCAGCGTGGCCACCACCAGGCGGAACCATGCAAGGAACCAGATTCAGAAAGGCCTGTGAAGACCAGGCTCTCGGCAACCCACCCCACCCCACACACACACACACATGCACACACACTTAGGCTCCCCGTAGCATTATTTAACAATTGCATGGTGGCACTTACACTTTCCCTTTTATTATTCACGTTCTTCCTAAAAGTGGTTTGAGGAACTGTTTCTCTCATTTCTGGGAGTCCCATAGGGCCTGATTCCAGTTCTCCTCCTAACTCCACCAGTACTGGCCTGGCTTGCATTAATGACACCTTGGAATCAGTGTCACAACAGGGCCTTTTATTCATCTGGTTCTCATATCTGGGTAAAATATTTAGATGTTTGACTGTTAATACATGACTATAAAATCCACTCTGCCTCATAATGACCTTGGTGAGGAGGCAATTTTTTTTCTTTTCTTTTTTTCTCTCCTCCTCCTCCTCCTCTTCCTCCTCCTCCTTCTTCTTCTTTTAAGAAAAAAAAGACTCTAAAGTCACTTCCTATTTAAATGTGAACTTAAGAATTCTTGAATCTGAAGGCCAGGCTACAGTATCAAGAGCTTGTTTCTCCAGCTTCCTATGTGGGTCTGTGTTCCTCTAGAACGTCACACTAGGAATGAGTGGGCTCCTCAGTTCTCTTTCTACTGAGGTTGTTTTGTTTTTGGTTTCAGGGTTTTTGTTTTGTTTTGTTTTGTTTTGAGTATTTGAGACAAAGTGCTGACAGTCTGACTTCCCCTTCTGTTCACAGCAACAGTAATCACATCCTTAAAACCGAATACCCCCAGGGCCGGCCCAGGATGGTTCGCAGACTTGGACATCTCTGTTCTGTTTGCTTTGGAAAGATGGAATGGAAAGTGAAGGAGGCTGCTAGGCCTCCTTCTTCGTGGAAAATAGAAGGTGATGACTGATTTATCCAAACTCAGTTAAGACATCTGGTCTATTTTATGTTCTCTCCACAATCGAGAGTCACAATTTGGTGGCAAAAAAAAAAAAAAAACAGAAAGCATTATGATACAATGAGCATTGTAATAGACGATACAATAGTAGATGAGGACACCTAAAAATCTCTATTTATACTCAAGATTCTGTTAATAGCAGGCATCTTTAATGCCAAGATTATAAAGGGCGAGCATTACACCCTGAGGGCTACATTGTACAAGAAACAAGTAACCAACACTCTGGTGCTTAAACATCTTATCAGATACTTACAGAAATAACTCTTCAAGCCTAGGGGGTTAGCTTAGTGGTAGAGCATTTGTTTAGCAAGCACAAGGCCCTGAGTTCAATTCTCAGATCCACCAAAAAAAAAAAAAAAGAACTCTTTGAAAAAATCAGTTATTCTGAAAATGAAGACAACACATTTGACCCATGCAAATTGTCACTGCATAGGAATGACACTGGGGTGGGCTGGGAACAAGGCCCTGTCAGCAGTAGCTGACCTACTGTGTGATGATCCATCTCCTGCAAAGGGTAGATGTTCAGTACACAGAAGTAGACTAAAGCAAGAATCATCTCTTTCTTCTGTGCCAAGGCTAGATCCAGCTCATATCTACTGGGGATAATAAAGAAGAAAAGCTCTTCAATAATTAACCTCTTTTTATACTTGCAGAGCCCAATTCCATAGAGGACTTTTATGCCTTCAACACTAAAAGAACCACATAATCCAAAGAAGGTTTCTCCCACCTTCTAGCCAATGGTTACCTGACCCAGCGCTGGAACTTTACAGATGGCACATTGAGATCCACACAGTTCAGTGACTTGCCTACAGCCACGCAGAGAATACTTGGCAAAACCTGAATTATTTCTAATTTCAAAGGTTGGGTAATTTTAATTAAATTGTTGACAAGGTCACTTTCTAAATGTTTATTGATCCATAAGAATAAATGGACCCATGGGACTGGGTTTCTTCGTGGCTATGCAGCCAAGTGGGCCTAATGTCAGTCAAAAGCATCAGGTAAGGACAATTTTCCAAACTTAGCCAACAAGCTCCAACTCTGAGCTTGTTGACCAGCTGTTAATTTATAACCAGGCATTCTCTGTCTTCCAGTTCTTATCTTACTCACGGAGGACAACAAATAAAAACTATCCCTGGGAAAATAACACCATCTCCAAGTTCTGTAAATGGTGACTATGTAAGACCATCTTTCAACAAGGAGGATGAATTAAATATTATAAATTTAGCTGCTATTATGGGCTGAACTGGGTCCTCCAAAATATGTTGAAGTCCTAACCCTCAATACCTGTGAATGTGAAATTTTTAAGGAAAAGAGTCTTTGAAGATGAGGTCATTAGGATCATTAATACCCTAATCCAATGACTAGAGTCCTTACAAGAACAGAAAAAATTGGCCAGGTGTGTTGGCGCATGCCTATAATCCCAGCAGTTTGGGAAGCTGAGGCAGGAGGATCTCAAGTTCTAAGCCAGCCTCAGCAACTTAGTAACGCCCTAAGCAACTTAGCAAGAAGTGTCTCTAGATAAAAAAAATTAAAAGGGCTGGGGTGTGGCTCAGTGGTTAAGCACCCCTGAATTCAATCCCCAGTACATAAAAAAAATGGGAAAAATTGTACACAGGCACACACACAGGGCAAGTACCATATAAAGATTAAAGTTTTGCTGTCACAAGCCAACAAACTCTAAAGATTGCCATCAAATCACTAGAGGCTAAGGGAGAGGCATGGTGCATATTCTCCTGGACAGCTGTCAGAAGGAACTCATCTTGATGTTGACTTCTAGCCTCTAGAATATTTAGACAATTTTCATTATCTAAATCACCCAGTTCACTTTGTGATACAGACTTAGGGTTCCTTGTCTGAAGTGCTTGAAACTATAAATATTTCCAATTTTGATTTTTTTTTATTTGGGAATATTTTCATATACTCAGTGAGATATCTTATGGATAGGACCCAAATCTAAACATAAAATCCATTTCTATTTCATATTCACCTTACACACATAGACTGAAGATAATTTAATACAATGTTACTAATTATTTTGTGCATGAAACAGATGTTTCATGATGAAGAATTTTTTCTTTGTGGATCATGGTGATGCTCAAAAAGTTTTATATTTTTTGGAGCATTTTGGATTGGGGATTTTCAGATTGATGATGCATAGTCTGTATTTGTTCAGCAATCCTTGCAAACTAATACCATTGCCCCATGTGAAAAAGAGGAGTCGGAATTAGAGTGAGCCTTCCAGCTCAATGACTGTGGTTCCAGGTAAAGGTAGACTAACACAGGGGCTCCGAGTCCACACCTGGCGCTGGGAAACGTAACTCTGGCCATGGGAGGGGAGAGGCCACGCCTCTCAGACAAGGAACAAATACTTACCAAGCCCCTAGTAGTGTCAGACACTGGGCAGCCATAAGCAGGAAGACCCAATCCCCGCTGAGAAGGAAATCCGGTTTCCCAGGGAAGATCAGTTTCTATCAAGGAGCTGTAAGTGAGACACATGCTAAGGAAACACAGGTGGCCCTGGGAGCATCAGACTGTGGGTGTGCCAGACAGGCTTCCCTAAGCAAATAAGGCGTTATGGTTTGATCCTCATATGTCCCCAGAAAAATCTCATGTGTTAGAATCATGATCCCCAAAGCAGCAAGGTTCAGAGGTTGGACTTTTAGGCACTGATAGAGGCTCTGACCTCATCAGTGGTTTAATCCATTTTCTGGAATTATTCGTTGATAGCTGGTTGGACTACTGGGTAGAAACTGTCAGCAGGTAGTGTAGGACTATAGGCAGGTGAGTCCCTGAGGGCATGCCTGGATCTGTTTCTGTGCCTGGATCTTCTCTTTCTCATTCTCTCCCTGCTTTCCTGCTGCCATGAGCAGAAAGGCTTTCCCCTGCCACACCCTTCCACCATGATGTTCTGCCCCCTGTGTATACACAACAGAACAGTGTGGTCAGGGGAGTCCGCCAACCATGGGCTAAAACTCCAAACCCATGAACCAAAATAACCCTTTCCTCCTTGAGTTGTTCTTATCAGGTATCTTGGTCACAGTGACAAAAAGCTGACTAACACCTGAGGCTTATGGAGTGAAGGTAAGAGAAAACCAGGAGTGGAGGGGAAGAATTAGCACCCCAACAGTAAGGAGGGAAGGGCATGCATGGCGTGCATGCTCCAGGCAGGACCAGCACGGAGCTCTCACTGTCTGTCCCTCTCTAAGGGAAGGGACAGTCTTGATGGGCAGAAAAAAAGAGAGAAAGTAAGGCTGATGACAGAAGGAGCAAGTGTATTGTTCAGCATGTGGTGACAGCCACCAGTTACTACAGAAATGGGCCCTGTGCCGGTCAGTGCGTGCTGAGCGGGCCCTGTTTATAACAGCAGCAGTTACACACTATTTCAAAGGAATCCCACACTTCCAGGCTCCCATCATGACTCACTTCCAAACTTCAAAGGCATGTTTAGACTTCAGTTGGACCCGATGGCATTCTTTCCGTGCTCTACGTAAGCGAGGAGTCTAGCAGACTGGAAACGCAAATTATGAATAAACACACATCATTTAATCTAGACCACACAGCCAGTTTTTCTTTCCAACCCCTTTGGGTTGTTAGGCTCCTGTGAGAGAGTGTGTTCCAGGTGTTTGCTTCTTTGTTTGAAAAAGGCAAAGAAGAGTTGGATAATTGCTCCAAACTACATACTCCCAACTACACAAATGAAAGACACACTGAACACTAAATGCTCAAATTTGAAAAATGAAAACATCCTGCAGGATTTTGTGTCACTATGCTCTTTTCTCCCCCTCCCTCATGGCAATCCTGGAATAAAGCCATTAGTGTCCCCATGAGCTTGAACCAAGCTTGAGTGCCATGCAGGACACAAGTCTCAGGAAGTTCTATAGAACATGTAGAGTGGACAAGAGGAGATTCAAGATGTACCTTCCCCTCACCTCGCCCACTACTCGCAACAAGAAAGAGCAGAGAGAAGCACCCACAGTCCAATGTGAGGTTCCCACTCTCACTTGTACGAAGGATCTCAGAAGAAGACTGAGAAGGGAACTTTCTTATGCCAACCCCTATCTGCCACATGACACCCAACCCCCTGTCTTTCTACTCAATTCAACCTTCCTACTCTACCTTGACATGATGCAATTCACTGTTTGTGATGATTTTGCCTACCAGCTCTCTGACCTGCTGGATTGTAATCTCCACAAGATGGGGACAGTGTCCCACTTATTCATGGCTGTATCCCCAATACTTAGCACAGTATCTGACAACCAGAAAGCTCTCAGTAAATCTGGCAATCAGCTTTCTGCAATAATTCCTTGGTGCAAAAGCTTTTGTGAAAAAGTTCCAGAAGAAGTTTCCCATAAAGCACATGGTCAGCAAGACAACAAACGTTCTCTTACTTTGCTGCCAGAATCACCTTGACCAACCTCCCAGGGAATGATGTATAACATCAGAATGCCAACTCATTCATCTTACAAAGGGATTGCAGAAGAGTTCACAAACCAATGTGGCACATGCATGCTGTCCTGCCTGCAGACCCATAAGGCAAGCCAAATTATAATCAAAATTTATGTAGTGAACAAAAAAATCAAAATCAAATACAAAGGACATTCCTGAGAGAGTGTGGCCAATGGGACCCCAACAATCCAAACCGGTTCATTCAGCAGGCCTCTTGGGCTTGAGGGAAAGGAGACAGACAGCTTGGTCTTCATGCTATCTCCTTTCCCAGCCCCTATCCTGATCAGCCCTCCCACCTCCCAACTTCTGATTAGTAACGTTTTTCCAATACTTAATCATCCAATCAGGACTACTTGTTCTTATCTGGGAGTATGACTTTAGTGTTCTTATTCTCTTCTGTTTTGCATTATTAACATTTATTGAGTATTTAGTATGTGCCAGGCACTGAGCAATTTTTTTTTTAATCCTTACAACAACCCAGGAAAGTAGAGACCTTTATTATTCCATTTTTTAAATGAGTAAAATGAAGTTTAACATGGTTAAATGACTTACATGGTCATATGGAAACTAAATGATAGAACCAATTATAATGTCAACAATTTCAAAATTCACAGGGAAACCAGAGACTTCCCCAGAAACCATCACACAGACAGATGATAAGAAGGAAACTGAAGAGATCCTCAGATGTTTCTCACTCATCATGAGAGCACTAGATTTTTATCTCATGGAACTTGGAGGCACTGGTCTCACACCACTCACATTCACATCCGACTTCCTTAAGGATAAAAGAACTCACCAGGTGGCAATTATCAAGAATACAAATAACAATAAATGTTGGCAAGGATGTGAGGGAAAGGGCACATTGCTGGTGGGACTTCAAATTGGTGCAAGCAACCACT